GTATTACTTCTCTCTGAGGATTTCACACAATAATTATTAAATTAAGCATAAAACAACATTAATTTAATTGAGGGGAAGTTGAATACTTTACCATTCTGACGAGCTATCAGAAAACGGTTTCTGACGTTAATTACTTAACTAGGATACAATTAATGCATTTCCTTTTTTGGTCAGTGGGGAGATGAATATGTAGACTGATGGTTTGAGATTATTTTTGTCTGTATATCCTCGCTGATTTAGTCTGTCAAATGATTTTCGCTATTTCGCATCCTTTGATATCCGACCCTAATAACCAAACAAGAAAGGAACTGCGTTAGCCGAAGAATGAGCGTATGCTCGAAGCGGAGTTAAAGAGTGCTTTAACCGGATTGGTCGGACGAGTCTCAACTCAAAATTGTAAAAAGTCCGCAGTATCATGCCTCTCCGAATGCGGAAAGGAGGCGGAGGAACCTCAAAGATCAACCAGATAAAATTTAAGCCGGGAACGCACTTACCCGATGCAACGCTATGCGACGTTGCCCGACGCAAACATAAAGTCCAATATTCCATAAGATTGTATTACCCCCGTGCACATTTCCCCGATGCTATGCAACACTACCCTACTCTACGCTCTGCGATCCCCACTGACCAGATTTTCGTCGAGTCGCGTCGAGTACAGTCGAAGACAAAAGAACCGGATACTCATAATTTTAAACAAACTATATATTATTGTCGTTATGCTAATTACAACATACTTATTGTAATATAAACCAAATTAACCGAGATCAAAAATTCATTCGTTTTTATTATATTTTAAATTAATTTTAATGGTTTGGTAGAAAATTGATCAAAACACAGGAATATCGTTTGCCGATATAATTAAATTAACTAACATTTTATTATACGGTTTTGGTCATAAAAGTTAACTAACAATGTATTACATGGTTTCGCTTATAAAATTACACCATTTTCGTCGAGTAGCGTCAGAACCGGACACTCATATTTTTCGTAGTTTATTTCGAACTATCAACATGTAATATTGTCGTTAAATTAATTTCAATATTCATATTTTAATGAAAACCATATTAAACAAGATCAAAAATTAATGAGTTTTTATTAAAAAAATATTTAATTGTGATGGTTAGAAGAAAATTGATCAAAACACCGGAATAACTTTATGTAAACGATTAAGTTTAACAAACAATATACTACACGGTTTTACTCATAAAATTTAACTAACAATTTAGTGATTATTGTAATACACACTGTGTGACTGTGTGCACACCCTACCAAAACTTGGCACGGCGTCGGGTAGCATCGGGTAGCGTAGCATAACGTGGTAATTGTTTCTTAATTTTAATTTGTTTTTTAATTCTTCTAACCATCACAATTAAATATTTTTTTATAAAAATTCATTAATTTTTCTTGTCGAATACTTTTGAGAAGCGCGGAAGTAGGCTGATTGATCGGTAGGAAGTAGCATTATTGGCCTGAAAGTAAAATCTCAAGGAATCTCGCTTTTCACAGTGAAAAATGACGGTCTATTTGTGAAATTTTTTAAAATAAAATTGTACCAAATTCTTATTATCCAGGAGACCAGAATATAAACGTAAGCTGGTTTGTAAAAATAAATTTAAAAAATTTAAAGTACGTAATAAATTCAACTTTCAGAGGCAAGAGACTGACATAAAACACACCTTAAGTCATATTAATAAGGATGATCAAATCCTTAAACTCATCCGAACGAAACAGTGATAATAAGCAGAATCTGTAACGATCAAACTGCCGATAATCATGACATGATGGGCCTAATTTCTTTCTCATAAGCAAAAAAATTAAAGAGAGACAATTACAAGAGATGATATAAAATCTATATAATGAATCGTATTACATAAATTACAATTATTGTATAATTTAACTTTTTTTTAGAAAAGAAAGCTGTTGAAAGATTGACCTAAATGAATTCATGATAATTGTTTATCATTAAATCATTATTTTTTCGTCTACGGTCAACTCTTTCCATGTTAGATTTCTATTAGAGGTTTTCCCCTATGATTAAGTGTTTGTAGACGATGACCCGAGAGTGATGATGGCCTGAAATCATTTCGCCCACTCGGCAAAAGTCATGTGGAAAAGGTGACTGATGAGCCACATTTGGAATCACCTTATCATCGATGACGTACCAAATTGACCGTGTTAATAAGGGTTTTCCAACAGTGAAATTATGGTATATTTCGACATTTAAATCATATCTGGAAGCTATTGTAAGAACGTTATAAAATATTAATAATTATGAGGATGTATGACCGAAATTTACATCCTATGGCGCCATTTTTGATCAACTTAGGGAAAAAATGAATGGAAAAACGTTGTTTCATTTTTATTAATAAAGTAAACAATGTATCGTTATCAGCTAAGAAATAGAATATAATAGAAAAGTGTTTATTATTATTATTTTCTAAAATATCTAACAAAAAAAAATTTTTTTTTAAATTTCTGCTGAGTTGGCTTAACATCTAATAAATTATACTGTTTTCCAATTAATAATTTGATTTAGGGTCATATTTACATATGAATTTTTATTTAAAACATTGATTAAACTTCTTTTTATGTAAGGTTGTTGGTTGCGATAAAAAATTCAGTGTCACGAGCGGGATTCGAACCCACGATCTTTGGCTTGATACGCCGCAGCTCTACCACTTGAGCTATAGTGACATCGATCCTCTCGGACAGGAACTCTTCATCTCAAAAACCTTACATAAAAAGAACAATTAATTTAAAGATATAACTTGGTCAATTGACCACTAAAACATAAAAATGCATTAATATTTAATAAGTAAAAGAAGCATCACTTCACTTCCTGTGGCCGTTCATAAGTCTCTGAGAATCCAATCCTGATTATACGACATTTTAAAATGGCAAAAAGAGGGAAAATTCGAACGGTTGTACCACCTCCGCTTAAGGTAAACACAGATAGGCCGGCGGCAGATGAAGTCTGCAGCTCCTGACGAATGTCACTTCCCCTGTTTTATGGATCCTTCTCTTACAACCGACAACCCAATAGGTCTTTCAAAATCATCTTTAAACATGAGGAATCTATTAAAACAAGTGATCTATTGAATCCATTGTATATGATATGGTGATCACTTATTTAAACCCCTGTACTACATAAAAAACTATGCCTGATGTATGTTTGATTACATGAATAGAAAGAGGAAATATGAAATTAATTTTTATGTATTGTAACATTAAGAAAACAAAAGGCTTAATCAGTTAGAACATTGTTACATCCATTAGACTTCGTGGTCCGATTGACCAAATAACTTTTTTCAATTAATTAATCTTTATGTAAGGTATTGGTTGAGATAAAAAAGTCAGCGTCACGAGCGGGATTCGAACCCAAGACCTTCGGCTAGATACGCCGCTACTCTACCACTTGACACCGACTTCCCATCTCAACCTCACCTTTCGAATTTTTTCTCCTTTTTTGGCATTTCTCAAATGTGTTGTCTATTCGATTCTCGGCGACAAATGAAATGGCCACGGAGAACTTTCATGTAGATATACTTCATTTTACTTATTAAATCCATTAGATTCGAAAGGTGAGGTTGAGATGGGAAGTTGGTGTCCGAGTGGATCGAAGTCACGATAGCTCAAGAGTTAGAACAGGGGTGTATTTAACCGAAGGTCGTGCGTTCGAATCCCGCTCGTGACACTGACTTTTTTATCTCTACCAATACCTTTCATAAAGATTAATTAATCGAAATATATTATCACGTATTTCCCAAGTTCTAGTCTAAAGTTTAAGTACTATTTTCTTGGCTTATTGAATATTTTACATTTTTGCCTCGCTTATAGAAAAGTTCTTCAGCTTAATACTTAATTTCTTAAAGGTCAGTTACACTAGTGTAAAATTGAGTTTTGATTAACTTAATTTACTTTCATTTTTGGTTAAAAGTGTTTTAAAAAACTATCCATTAAGATGTTGAACCTTCTATTAAAAATAATGAAATTAATGCAAAGTAAGCAAATAAGGTGTTTTGGTACTAAATTTATCATAATCCAAATACAAACCTTCTAAATTTTTTTGTAAATTTCCATATTATTTAGATATTCTTGTACTAATTGATTTATGTGGGGAAGGGATGCGTGATGGAAAATTCCAGGGGCTGACAGTAGGGATCGAACCCACGAACGCGGGGTCTATGACAGTATTTCAGGCTAAACTCTCCGTTACAGCCGTCCCGGTCATACATAAAATGTTCGAAATATCAACCGTCCTATCCACGGCATCTAACACCATCACACTTTTTTTTTAACGATGGTTTTCGCAACAGCAGTGGTTATATCAACCCTCGGGGCGCCGATGTTTTTTTGGTGCTCATTTGCTGTATGTATTTAGCCGAAGGTCGTGGGTTCAAATCCCGCTCGTGACACTGACTTTTTTATCTCAACTAAAAACCTTACATGAAAAGAACAATTACTTGAAATTAGTAACTTGCTCAATTGGCCATTAAAACATAAAACTGGACTAAGACCTTCAACAAGGTATGCAAACAAATATTGTCAACAATGATGATATTAAATTTCAACTGAAATTATAACACAGCTTCTAATATACTATCATACATTAACAATTTTTTCAGTCATAGGGACATTATTTGCGTATAAGTTATTTATATAAACATAAATTTAAGTTTTTAACATGGAATATTAAATAAACAATTTGAGCAATAATCATTTTAATGTAAGAATATTAAATAAATATTATCAAAAATGGTGGCAATAAATTTTAACTCAATTTATAACGGCTATGAAATATATTTTTTCTTTAGTTAATGATTTTAAAAATTTGGCAAGGATATTTATTTAAGTTGAAGTTTTCATTTTTTGTTAATGCAAAAGTATAGACGAACCGTATCGACACATATGTTATTGACAGTAAACTTATGTTAACATTTTCTCTGCTGGCAGTAATTAGTGCAAATATTATAAAATTTTATCAAAACAGATGCTTTTAATTTTTTTATTCGTACTGACGAATTTTACAGAGCTTACGGTTCTGATCAGACTTACTCGAGATGCTAGATGATCACTTGAGCTTTAGGTTTCCGAGTCTTTTTTCTTTTTCCTGTGGTATCCGGTAATGCAGGAAAACAGGGCGCAGGGATCGGTCATGCAACAGGCACAAAGGGCACATTTCACTTCAAACACTACGAGAATGAAGCAGAGGACGGCGACGAAGTAGAAGCCATATGTAAGTAGCCTTCCCGCTTCTTCCGAACAAGAAGAACTGTACGCCGACGATACAGGGCAACTACCATTTTCCCGGCCGCAACAAGACGATGGTAGTTCCTTTATTTTCCACTCTTTAGGACCGGACATACCGCAGCATGAACTGATCTTCTGTAGTCTGTCTATTTCGGCTTTGTACAGTTCGTAGTTCTGGTACTTTACCTCGAGTGTTTTATTGAGAGTTTGGCGGATGAGATCCATGCGATAAAATATAATAAAGCCAATCAAGATTTGCGTTATTACCAGCGTGAACATAAGACCCGCGTATATTTGGAGCATGATGTCGATGTGCAATAAAACCCCGATCATCCCGACCAACGCTATTACGATGAGCATCATCCCCACGCTGATAAATGTCCTTCCTAAATGGATATGATCACTGAGAAAAGCATCGAGAAAGCCAGCTTCGATCATTTTATTTTGCCCGAGCGAAATCATGCCCATGCCGATCGCCCCAGTGATAACCGTCGCGATTAAAAGATACACCTTCCTAATTTCACACATAATAAATCTTAGAGCTTCTTAAGCGGAAAAATAAAATTTAAAAGTAATGTGAAATGTGATGTTTGTCAACTCATGACATTAATAGAAATATTTGTACATCTGTTTATTATATAACAGAATACATTGTTTCTTTTATAGAATATTATTTTATTTCGCTTAATTATTTTTATTTATTCTTACTAAATTACGATTTTTACCTACATTTTTTAAATCCATTTTTGAACTGCTTTTGATTTGGTTAATGGAAAAGTGTTAACCTTAAAAGTATGCAATCTTCTAAACTCAAAAAACCCATATAATTTTTCATCTCCCATTATGTGAGTACGGGGTAAAACATGGTCGGGCACTGGACCCACTATTATTTGCGCTCTTTTGGACGATTTTCCATCCGTACTGGAATCCGGTGTACAAATTAGTAAGAAAAAAGATATTAAAAATGAGGATATTGTACTCATCACATGCTGTCAGTCTCCAAAGAAATATTAAAATTTTTGTGTTATACAGTTTATAGTATTTACTAAAAAATTAGATAATTCCGCTACGTACCGATATATTTGTTTCTCGTCTCTCATAAGACCAAGGATTCATGAAAACTTTCTATAAAATTAATAATAAAAAACTTCAGTAAACGACTTCATGGGGTACGAACGGGTACTATGCGCCTCCAATAGCCTCTAATACCCAACTCCGACTTTCCACCTTCACGAAGCTTATGCGGGTGTACCCTGTTAACTAACAAACGGAAAGAGGGGTATGGAGGGACAGGAGCTGGACCTGACACCTCCTAATCCTAAACCCAACACCTACCCCTCTTCCCACCCCACACCTTATCCTGGTCCCACTCTCCAGCCCAAATCCAAGGTGTTATGCGATCCGTGCCGATGGATGAATGGCACAGGGGTAACTGTGCCAATAACGGAGCCTCAAGGGCACCAGGCGACACCCTTGAGTAATTAGCCTTACACCGGAGAGAGGGCTCCTCCGGTGCGGACCTTTAGATCCCTCTCACTCGTGGGAACTACATGGAAAAACCTACAGTACAAAACAAAACACCGGGGGAACCTGTAAAGGAAGACCCCAAAAACCAACCNTAACTTCTACACAAATACAAGAAGCCATAATAAACTCATATCATGAAGCCTGCCCACAAACCACCTACAACAACGGGAAAAAAGTTTGCTGGTGGAATGATAACCTGGCGGCACTAAGAAAGAAAACTCGCAAACTTTGGAATAGAGCGAAAAAAACGGGGAATACTGAAGAATACAGTAAAACCCTAACAGAATACAATAGGGAAATAAAAAAGGCGAAACAGGAATCGTGGAGGAAATATTGCAAAGAAATCGAAAACATCACAGAGGCAAGCAGACTCCACAAAATCCTCGCCAAAGACCCTATAAACCCCATCGGAACAATAAAAAAACCAGATGGAAAACACACACAAACCGGAAAGGAAACATTAGAAACCCTAATAAGAACGCACTTTCCGGAATCCAAAATTATTACGAACGACTTCATTTTTGTATTCTTCAAAAAGGTGGGCATTTTAAATATTTAATTCAATTTTTAAAGATTTTTTATTTTTTTGTTCACTTTTCACATCATTTCACATTCATAAATTTTGGTCTAGAAAGTTTTTTGTTTATGTTATGCTACTTTCATTATTTTAATTAAAAGATTAGACACTTCAATGACTAATTTTTTACACAATTTGTAACCAAAAAATTAAATTTTTAACAACTTATCGTTAATTTTACGCTGGTGATAACTGATTTGAGAAATTAAGTTTGTACTTGAAGGCTATTGACAGGAGCAACCTTTCTTTAAGCGTCATGTTGTCAGTATTTATAGAGCCAAAAAATTCTTACTTAAACATTAGACAAGAACATTAGAAATTCGTAAATGTTTGTGTTTTTATACATTTTTTGCTTAAAGTTAATATAATAAATCTTACGAAACATACAGAAATTTTAATTAGTTAATCTTTATGTAAGGTTTTTGATTGAGATAAAAAAAGTCAGAGTCACGAGCGGGATTCGAACCCACGATCTTCGGCTAAATATTCCGCTGCTCTACCACTTGAGCTATCCACTCTGACGCCAACTTCCCAATTCAATCCATCTTTCGAATTTGAGAGATATTCAAATTTTAGATGGGAGGTTGGTGTCCGAGTGGATCGAAGTCACGATATCTCAAGCGGTAGAGCTGCGGCGTATTTAGCCGAAGGTCGTGGGTTCGAATCCCGTTCGTGACAATGTCTTTTTTATCTCAACCAATACCTTACATAAAGATTAACCAACTGAACATAAGTTATTTATTATTATTAATAGGGCCACGAACTCTAATGGAATTAACAAGAAATTTTAATGTTCTTTCCACTGATGTAATCAAATGTACGATAGAATGGATATTTTATGAGATTTAGGGGTTACATAAGAAAAAGTTCATGAAAGGTTGAAGCAACACAAAATGTGATTTATCTCGAATAGAATTGAAAATCAGACTTTAAACAATAGGGGCTTATTAGTCCCATTTGGCGTATACTATCACCTTAGGTATTGTCGTGTATTCGTGGAACATCCTGTATAATAAAATTTATTTAAATGTCCATATTTTTTGCTTTTGCTTTAACCATGGCATTAGGTTTTTTGTAGTTTGTGGTTTTTATTGTTTGCCGAACAGAAGAAAACAGATTTTTACACACCAACTTTATATTTATGTACGACGAAGCTTCTTTCTAGGATATTTTGCTGCTGGGATGCATTTGCTGTATAATTCTTATTGTTGTAATGAACAGTTTTTTAAAGAAAAATTCGTTCGGTGACAACAAAAGACTAAAAAATGTAAGAAAATGGAAAATGTCAGCTGTAAAGAATGTCCTTTTTAGAGTGAGAAGATGCGTGGGCGTCTAGGAGAGCAATGTCCCCACAGTGACACCCCCTTTCAAACTCATAAGTTTTTCCGAACCATTATCGCATGTTCCACCGGTAATTACTGTTTGGTCATGGATCGTACAATACGCGGACTGTGGGAGACAGTGTTGCGTGAAATCCGCCTCCGATCCCACACATGTGATTTCTCCCTGGTAAGGTTTTTGCGCCGTGAAACGATCACGTACAAGACAAAACTCCTACTGTTACAGCGTTACAAGATTGAAACATTTTACGCTCTGCCGATTCAATAAAGGCTTCTTAACGCGTTTTACATTATGCGCTAAGCCCTTTTTATTTGGTGCCGTAATGAAATTTGATGTGACACATTGTGCACGATCGATTTTTTTTTTACACAAGACATACGGCACGAAATATCCCAATGATGATGCAAGAGAATGTGTAATACGGTAGAGTTAAACCGTCTGAAAAAATATAACAGATAATTTATAAACCTATGCCTATTAGCACTTATGTAAACTTATGGACGAAACTTATGAGGTTTTGCCAAACATTTCAATATCCTTTGCATAAAAACTCCATAACTCTTAATCTTCAGTTACCTGATGCACCAATTTATGTGTCCAATAGTCTGCCTATACAGACCTTAATATTCCTTTGGTTTAAAATGAGATTTGTTCATTCAGTTCCTTTTTTCATTCTAAAACGTGATAAGAGCGATGATATAATAACTATAATAAATACATAGATAGTAAGAATTTTTGTTGATTAAAAAATAAAACACATTGATTTTCGCTATTTCGCACCTATTCTATCACACACACACACACACACACACACACACACACACACACACACACACACACACACACACACACACACACNTATATACATTAAATTAATTTTTTCTCTCGCTTTTCCACTATGTCTCTCTTTCTCTCTCTCTCTCTCTCTCTCTCTCTCTCTCTCTCTATTTCTCTTTTTTTTCTCTCTCTCTTTCTCTCTCTCTCTCTCTCTCTATTTCTCTTTTTTTCTCTCTCTCTTTCTCTCACTCTTTCTTCCTCTCTATCTCTCTACGTATCTATTCATATAATCTTTCTCTTATAACTGTTTTTCTGGCTTTCTCTCTCTTTTCATTATAAGTTTTTCTTTCTCTTTCTCCCTCAGTCATCGTTTGTCTTATTTCTCTCTCTCTCTCTCTCTCCCTTTCTCTTACCCTTAAATCTTTCCATTATAATTTTTTCTCTCTCTTCTAATTTTAGTTTTAGTTTAACTGTATAAAAAATATTAATCATGGTGTTTGATTATTTCATAAAATATTGTATAAGTACAATTTGTAAATTTACTCAATTAATTTGTAAAATTATTTTTTTCATTCATGCCAAACAAAAAAATTCCTTTTTGTTGAAGGAAAGTTTCAAGTCATTGATCAGTATTGCAATACCAGCGCCAAAGTTCTTAGATTTTGAAATATTTTGGAAAAACAATTTATATGGAACAATAATAACGTAATAAATCATAATGTTTTTGAGATAAAAAATTTCATAGGCGGCACGTTGGTTCTCGCGATTTTGCCGGTGCTCTCCAGGAAAATGGACGCCGCTTGTAATTGTAACTAATAAACCAGTCTGATGGGTTTCCACGGAGGGCACTTGCTTCCTCTCGTTTATAATAAGTACCATTAACTGTATATAAACGAGATCAAGAGAAAGAGGAAATGCACTCCAGTAAGAGGTTATACCAGATAACGAGGTGAATCCAACGGGTCACCTATATAATTGTCCCGATTAACTTCCACTGTGTCCACTCTTCCTAATGCACGCCTAATTCAGTTGAGTAAGGGATTTCTCAGATCGGACGTGTCGACCTTCCCCTCCTACGAACACTAGGATTGTACAAATGACCAATTAGGAGTTTAGAGACACTGGCTCCGACTCATAACGGTTTCACCTTCTTTCCACTGGCCCTCTTTTCTTTTTTCGAGATTGAGAAAGAACCGTGTAGCCCATTGACTGGCCCAATCTTCCATTAATACTCCCTGTTTGAATGGATCTTATTTTAATTTACACATTCTGCCTTCCACGGAGGAGAATATCTATAATCTGACGGCATTCCAATCCATGGAAGAGTGGAAACTGAAGCCATTCTTTTACTTTCATTCAGATTAATATTTTTGATAGTTGCAGTATTCTCAGTTTCCAAAATAAGAGTGACCTCACAATAAAGCCATTACCAATAAAAACAAAAGTTACATATGTAATAAAATACTATGTTTGACTATGAAGATGCAAAAGTATTTCTAATAATGTGAAAAGTTCTCATTGCCGATTCAATTAATATACTTTATAGGTTCAGGCTGTTATATTTTATTAATTATTCGGAAATCCTGACATGCAGTCTGGTGTGATGTAGATTTCAGAAATACATTTTCTTTATCGTGCCAACGTTTCGTTCTTTATTGAGATCATCTTCAGGGCCTCGGATTTACATTGTTTAAATTTAACAAATATATGTAGGATGTGGAAAAAAGTGAATTCATATATAATGCAAAAAATATTTTTTTATATTCAAAGTAATTATTCAAAAATCGCGAGATGAGGTCTGGTGTGATGTAGGTTTCAGAAAAACATTTACTTTATCGTTCCAACGTTTCGATCTTTATTGAGATCATCTTCAGGGCTCAAGGTGTTTGTCTTCTGCGTAATTGTCCCATTCTTGCGTGTCGTGCGGCACTCTCAACGCGACACGCAAGAATGGCACAATTACACAGACAAATACATTGAGCTCTGAAGATGATTTCAATAAAGATCGAAACGTTGGCACGATAAAGAAAATGTTGTTCTGAAACCTACATGACACCAGACCGCATCTCACGATCTATGAATAATTATCGATAAACGGTCACTAATCACCACACATATATTCAAAGTATTTCTACCCAATCAAAGTTACCATTGAGTTGCGATTAATTGGCACAATTACGCAGAAAACAAATACTTTTAGTGAGGAGAAATACTTTGATTGAATATAAAAACATATTTTTTGCATTGTGCAAATTCAGTTTCTTCCACATCCTACATGTATTTGTTAAACATAAACAATGTTTGTAAATCCCAGGCCCTGAAGATGATCTCAATAATAATCGAAACGTTGGCACGATAGAGAAAATATTTTTCTGAAACCTACATCACACCAGACTGCATTACACGATTTCCGAATAATCATCGACTAACGGTCACTAATCACCACATATTTTATTAAACAAATTAAGCACTGCTTCAAAAATATGACCATTTGACAAAAAGTAGAATTTACTTTGAATATCGAGCGTGGCACCCTGTTCTCCTTTTCAAATAAAAAAAGCGTTCTTCCAACACCCACTATCTCATTCCGAAGTCCTTCTTTTCGGATCGCTAAGGCAAGTTGAGAATGGGTTCTGAATTTTGAGACATCCAGACCAGCGTCTCCCACGGGTGTATCTTAAGTCTAATCCTCTACACTGTTTACTCCGCTGGCGTATCCTAACGCATGAATAAAACGATTGACGTCCCATCCACATAAGAAGATGCTATCGTATCATATCCTGACGCGGCCTGCGTTATCGCTAATGTCAAACCTATTATCATACAGACTTATGATATAATTAATTTAATGACGCCTTTAAAATTTAAAAATGCTGAAGGGATTGCAGCTGCAACTTACGAAATGCCCGATTATCACAAATTGTGGTCTAATCCTAATGAAATAATAAAGATACATGACATACATCGCACAACTTATCGTGGCTATGAAACCTGCAGCTTAAAAAAATAATAATAAATAAATAAATACTAACTTTCTATTCTCAATTGATGAATATGCGGTTAAACAAGTAATACCAATTAACCAAAATCCAAAATCTTCTACAGTCAAAATCCGCAAAGAAAATAAGCATATAAGACGAGTAGTGCCCTTTTATAATTTTCCATGTCACAAACCAGCGGTAATAACCGATAAAATAATTGAAACTCACTCCAATATCAAACCGGCTTTCAGTATTAAGAAAAATCATTCAATTAATTAAGGTTTTTAGTTGAGATAAAAAAGTCAGTGTCACGAGCGGGATTCGAACCCACGATCTTCGGCTAGATACGCCGCTGCTCTACCACTTGAGCTATTGTGACCTCGATCCATTCGGACTTTTTTATCTCAACTAAAAACCTTAATTAATTGCACATAACATAAAGACAGACGGGGCGGGTATTTCACCGTCTGTAAATCGCATGTATAAATGTGTAGCTTCTATTTAAGTAATTTATATAGTTGTTCGGTTGTATACAGTCGTGTGTTTGTATTGATGAGTATGTGCGAGGGCTGAGGGCAGAATATCGAATAGCCCTCGGCCTTCAGAGTGCCTTAGAGGCTGATATGACTTCATTGTCGGTGTCCTCCCATTATAAAACATAATCATAAGAAAAATTTAAAAAAAAATTAAAAACCTCTTTGTGTGTATTATGTTTTGCCCCCCCCTCCGAAAAAATGTAACAAAATTTAAAAAAATACTACAATAATTCGGTGTCTTCAGAGGAAATGAAACAGGCACTTTAAAAAAAAAAGGGTTTGAGAAATTTATAATGAAAAATGTAAAATTAAACATGGAGATAAATGCATAAGTAATATAATAAACTTTGATTAAGGGCGTCGATGGCCGCAACGGTTTAGGAGTTGACACGGCGCTCATCCCTGTAAGGTAAAGGTCCCGGGTTCAAATCCAGCGGCCCTGCATTCAAACCCGACATAATTACAAATGGGCTTTTTTTCAAAAACACCGACACCCTGAGGGTTTATATGACCTCTGCTGTTGCGAACCCTCGTAAAAAAAAAGAGAAAGAAAAAAATAAACTTTGATTTACCTCTTATTTTAAATATGTACCTAAATAATATTTGGCACACATATTAATAACTAATTTTAAAAAAATTAATTTATTGCAGTACATATTTTATTGTAACAAAATTACATTCTACTTTTGATGTATTTACAATAAGTTGGGTGTTTATGCTTAGACCCTAATTAATGTGTGGCATGATGCTTAGACCCTTCTTGCTTACACAGTGTAGGAGCTTGTAAATATTAATTTACAAATAACAAGTTCAATGGAGAAACGAATCTTTACAGTTTAAGAAATAGTAGAGACTAAAGAAAAAGGAGTGCATTTATATTATTTCTCATTTTCAGACGTCGGATGTTTCGGGTTTGTGGTGGAAGAGCAGCAATTTCCCGGAGCTAAGGGTTAGGAGTGCTTATACTTCTTTTCTTATGTAGGCGTTGATGTCAACGTCCGCTATTTTTAGGTCAGTTGTTTTCCTCATATACCACTGAGCACCTATTTATTAACCTCAGAATTCGATTTTGAACTGTCCGAACCCGTTTCACCTGACACTTGCTCTCTGATGCCCATATCTCAGTCATACATCGTTTTTCAGGAAAATATGAAATGGATGTGGTTTGCCCGTTCGAAATTAACCAGCTTTAAAAACCAGCTTCATATTGGAATTGCGTTTGCGTGCATGTTCAACCTTACAATTCATGTCGATAGATGATCAAACTGATGATGAGCGTTTAATGCTCGAAATCCGGATCGTATGAACAAACCTGTGATTAGTACTATCATTTGACAAAAGAGAATCTAAATACTCACCCCACCTTCATCATTTCTCTCGACATGCCATTCGTGACGGACATGATCCAAACATAATGGCACAACTCCAAGCTCTCCTCATGCAACGATCAACTAGATCAAGCCATCTTTAAGGAACCACCCTAACAATCCTCCACGCCTGAAAGGACAATTGCTTCGCGACCTAGCCCAACCCTAAACCTCAACCATCAATCGTAACTGAACCTTCCGGCTATGGCTGCCTACTCTCCCCCATCCCTAATAATTTTATCCTCCTGGTATGACGGATTCCTGACAGATCTTGTATTGATCGTCAAAGATATATTATTAAATTTGTACATTTTTGTACAAACGACAATAAAATAAAGAAAATTAAAATAAATTTGAATACTGTACGAACAAACGTAGGTTATATACATCATAAGGTATTATGAACGACTAAGAAGTCAAAATTTACCACCTGACACAACACCAAGAACGAAAACAATTAAACTTACACACGCAAGCATTCACGTCAAATCTCGAAAGATATTACCGAAACACACGATATACGAAATGCTAATACGCCGACCGGCATGTCCAAGTAGTTCGTAATACGTTGATTACATTTCTGAGTTTATTTATTTCATACAAATCACGAGAAGAAATTTCTTCTGGGACTTAAAATCTTTGGATGATCTTTGTTGGAAATTACCGATGGAAAACTAGTACGGTGAAACTACGGTCAAACTGTTATATATTTTTACAACCGTTACTCACAGCTACTTATTTTGATCTGGCCCACATATGGAATTCCTAATGGCCGGCCGTTTCTTCGATTCCCGATTTGAATCAATGAAGACCGGTTATAAAATGATGCAGTGCTAAAATCTGATCACCATTGAACGAGCCGTATCGTATCGGAGAAAAACCCGGTCCGTCGGCTTAGATATAAAACGAAAGTCATCTTAAAGAATAACATTACACTAATGACGGTGTTACACATTTAAAAGATTAGAATGATTCAATAAATAACCGGAATCGTGGTCCTAGATCTTGAAAATTAGCGAGTTTCTTGTATCGCCCTGGGCAACATGTATAGTCATCAGATCCCTAACTGCAAACATTATCTACAAGTTTTAAACCATTTATCAATTATTACGTAATATTTACTAATAGCTAATGCACCGCACATGCAAATTAATAAATTGAAATAGGTTGGGGAAATACATTTATTAATACATAAAAACTCATTCAAGATAAACATTATGTTTCTTTTTTTTCATTCCGGTTTTAAAGGTAACCAAACATTGAAATTATGGTAAGGAATCAGATGCACTCACTGAATTTTTTCTATAGATCTATCTAAAAAAAAAAATTGTTGAAAAACTTATGCGTGGGAATAATTCACAAATACGATCTGAAGGATTGTTAATCTCGCGAGTTGAACATTTGTGAGTAGACTTGGCCATCCTATTCCGTACTGTCTCTTCTGTACGTTTACAAAAATTCAGTCTTAAAGGCGAAGTTAAAATCACTAATAATTTCATCAATCAGCGGAAAATGTTATGTTTACGTTAGTGTAAACTGCAGAAGATTCTAGGCCCTACATAGTAGTTGTCTTACATCTTTTTAGGTTATGTCTTCGCTCCTCATTGCCTCACCTGCAAATGAGGGTTATGTATTCATCATTATAGGGGTATTCACAATGTTTGTAAGTTGTTAACTCGTGTTAGAGTAATTTCCATGTAAGATCGTGAACGCCCTTTTCTTTTCTTAGCATGTTAAATGTTAATTTTTCCGCAATGCTACGCGTGGCGACTGGTAGAACCAAAAATAAAGATATAACAGTCCTTGAAGGCTTGTTGTTTGTTTTGGTTTTGATTTGTGTTGCCAAAAGTTAGTAAAAAAGGAAAATTAATCTACGCTTTCATTCAAAATGCTATCTATGCACTCGAAACGTACTAACAAACAACACGCTTCAATTCCTGCCTAGCTAACTTGTATCCTAACCTCTAACAAGCTACAACTTATAGGATAGGGGATATATCTACTATGAATGAGAGTAAGGACATGTTAGAAATTAACAAAAGAAATGTATTGATCTTATTTAATTAATGCCTATTTAAGAATAAAAATACGTGTAAACAAAAAACAGCTGTTAAATTCATGGCTGCCATGTTGGTTACCTACGCCCTAACGGATAGCAATGTAACTACATTTTCGACCTTACACCTAACATTGGCTCTACCTTTGATCGAGCAATGTTAACTAATTGATTCTTACAAGTCTACGTCATCATTTATCTCGATCTAACACGACCTAACAGACTTAACAGGGTTAACACAAAGATCGTGAATACCCCTAATACACCCATGTGTTTTCTCAGTTTTCAGTGATCAGTCCTATCACTCCTCAGAGTTTTACCCTCTCTAGCTGTACCAATCTTTCTTACCAGTTTTAGTGAGAGATGTTTAATTATGAGTTAATTCTGTGGGGTCATGCTGAGCTGTTGAAGTCAATGCTTGTTCTTGTTATCTCTGTGGTACGTTCAAGGCCTATATGTCATCTTGCAGATCTTGTTCAATGCCCAGAATTCTAGGTGCCCTGGCAACCAAGATTCTTTTAGGCTGTTAAGTTTTCCTAGATTTCGGAGGATTTGAATACATTCAGAAGGTTTCGTCCTACTTACTGCATAACCTAGAAATGAGGTCATCATTAAGTAGAAATAACATGGGTAGTTCTGTAAGTGTTTTCTCATAGGACATTGACCGGTATGTAACCCTACCCTTCCCTGTGTTTTCCCTTTCTAACCGTATCAATGTACTTGCCAGTATTGATAAGCGATGGTTAAACATTAGTTTATTGTGTCTGGCATTTCTGAAGTTCATCCATTTCTCCTTTTGGTTATTGTTGTCCCATTCTGATATGAAGCATGATATGCGCTTGATCTTGTTATTCCAAGTACAGATTCTGAGCGTATTACATAGTATGGCAGATTCCCTGTGGCTTTTTTTGCTCGTTCATTGCCCTGAAGTCATTTGTGCCCTAGCACCTAAGATAGTTTTAGTTTATTAAGTTTTTTAGGTTTTGAAGGTTTTTGCTCCATTCATATTTGTTTCTTTCTCATTACTGTATAACCTAAAAATGAGATCAACATTGATACAAATAGCATGGGTAGTTGTGTTGGTATTTTATCTGATGATAGTGACCCGTAAATACCCCTTTGGCTTCCATTGGTTTTATTTTTTTCTACGGTACCAATATACTTGGCAGTTTTGGTGAAGGATTTCATGAGTCTATTGGAGTTCTCTGGAGATCGTCTACTTTTCGTTTTGTTTTATGTGTTTTATATAATAGTTTAAAAACGTTAGGGTGAATTTTATGTAAGCTGGCTCCCGAAGAGCTACAGCCATGAAAACAAATGCTGTTCTCTGTAAGAAATTCAATTCCTGTCATAGAGGAAGGCTTAACGTCCACCTATTCATAAGATTTTAGAATTAAACCACTTCCAACTTTTCTCTACATTATTCGCAATTAGAAATCCAAGTACTATGCCGGGATTCGAACTCAGGACAGCTAGTGTGGCAATACGAGTCGGGCGATCCGCGATCCCTTCTGTATTTTGGATATTAAACAAAAAAATGTTGTAAATGTAAATATTTTAGACAAAGAATTTTTAAAGGTGGATTTTGCCTTAATCATGAGAAATTCATACCGAAATATGCACACTATACTCTTAGTTTTCAGATCACCATGACTCAGAGGCATTTCATCCAAAGGATTGAACACAAGGCATTAACGTTCTGTGGGTGATAAATAAAGACGATTAGCAACAGGCTACTCCACACCTCATTGATGATAACTGGATTCTTATGTATCATTTTATAATTCGCTTAATGTCCGGCCGACCTTTCCAGGCGATTCGTAAATGGAAAATTGCCGGAGCTGTATAAGAGCGAACTGGTACCGTTACAAATCAAAAATATGCCAAAACGGCGAACCCAAATCTGTAGTTAATAAAAATAAAAACTGTACCATTACGTATATTTTTTTATTAATGTTTGCTATCCGGTGGCAATGTTTATTATTCAAGCTTCTGACTTTTCAGACCATCCTATTTATTTATGACCGATTGAACGGACGGATTATGCTAAGATATTCCGATTCAGTCCCGTATCATAACTAGATCCCGAGGGACTCTTATAATTGATAGGGAGGGGAAGATTTATAAGTGGTTCAAGTCTTTCGAATGACTGATATCTGACGTGAAAGTCGAACTTCAGCCTGATTCATCACCAAATATAAAATTAAATAATTCTGTCAACCAGACTTTTATCAGGGAAATCTAGGTGTACAAATTTTCAAATTATAAGAGTCATAACATAATCTTGAATTTGCCGAAGAACTTTAAATTTGTCTATTATGTTTTTCCCTTTGGAGCCTGTATGCTCTTATTCAAAATATTTCATTCTACCTTCTTCTACAGGATTATTATAAAATATTGAGTTTTCTGTTGAGTCGCATGGTAGCCAAAACAATTACTTGCACAACAAATCTTTTGTTACACTCTATAAATCTGCATAAATTTCTTGTAACTTTCCAAAAATCATATTTGGTTTTCAGACAATAAAACATATTTCATAGTTGTTTACAGAATTATTCAGCCGAGAAAAAGACAGACGGTAAAAACTTAATAATGTGAATATGAATGAGAAACCAGAGCTTAAAGCCGGGAACACACTTCCGATGCTACGCCATGCGACGCTACCCGATGCTACCCGACGCCTTGCCACGTTTTGGTGGGGTGTGCACATCTATCCGACGCAAGCACACGTCGCGTACAGTCCACAGCGTTTATCACAATAATCACTATCACAATCGCAACGCATCTTTTGTTCTTAATGCACTATTTTGAGCAAAACCTTGTAATAAATTGTTAGTTAAATTTTATGAGCACAACCATCTAATAAATTGTTTGTTAAACTTAATTGTTTTAAATAAAGTTACTCCTAACCATCATAATTAAACAATGTTTATAAAAACTTATGCATTTTTGATCTCGTTTAATTTGGTTTACATTAAAATAACATGTTGTAATTAATATAACGACAAAATTACATGTACTTAGTTTGAAATAAACTACAAAAAATATGAGTGTCCTGTTCTGATGCTACCCGACATTACAAAATGGTGTAATTTTACGAGCAAAACTATGAAATAAATTGTTAATTAAATTTTATGAGCAAAACCGTGTAATAAATTGTTCCAATTTTAGTATATGTACCGCCGAAGCGAGTACAATAAATTGTTAGTTAAATTCATTATATCAAAAAATCGTATTCCGGTGTTTTGATTAATTTTCTACCAAACCATTAAAATTAATTTTTTAAATAAAAACTAATTAATTTTTAATCACAGTTAATTTGGTTTATATTAAAATAAGTATGTTGTAATTAATATAACGACAATAATACATGTAGTTTGAATAAAAATATGAGTGTCCGGTTTTTTGTCTTCGACTGTACTCGATGCGACCCGACGAAAATCTGGACAGTGGGGATCGCAGAGCGTCGGATAGGTTAGCGTGGCATAGCATCGGGTAGATGTGCACGGGGGTAATGCAACCTTTTGGAAAATCGGAGTTTTGATTTGCGTCGGGTAGCATCGGGTAGCGTCGCATGGCGTAGCATCGGGTAAATGTGTTTCTGGCTAAATGAAGAAATCACAGTTGACTGAAATTATGCGATTCACGTTTCCAAACAGTTAATTGGGAATAAAAAGCCATCCTTTATCAAAAGGATCTTCAGTGAGGTCACAACAGGAATGACAAACTCTTTAAGTCTTTGCCGAGCTTTCGACGATTATACTGTCATCATCAGGGTCTAACTATTTCGCTAAAATATCGCAGTTAGAAACATGTTATATCATTTAAAAAACAACATTACAAAAAAACAATGATTTATCTTTCTTTAACTAGATGAGTGTTTAAATTTATCTGGAGGGCAAGAAACAGTATATGTAATAATAATAATTAAAAAAACATTACATATGCCGTTTCTTGCTCTCCAGAAATAGTTAAACACTCATGTAGTTAAAGTAAGATAAACAATTGTTTTTTGTCATTATGTTTTTTAAATGATATAACATGTTTCTAACTGCGATATTTTGCTGAAATAAATAGGCCCTGATGATGACGATATAATCGTCGAAAGCTTGGCAAAGACTTAAAGAGTTTGCCGTTTCTGTTGTGACCTCATTGAAAATTCTTTTGTTCAAGTTGTTCAACCAACACGTCGATACATCATCTCATCTTTAATTTGCCAACCTTTATGTTTAGATAATTGATGGGATATTTATTATGGCAGTTAGAAACAGCATAGGTCATATCAACCCCCCCCCCCGGGTTTTTCGGCGCTTTTGATAAAATGCCCATTAGTATGTATGTCCGTTTCGAATCGAGTCGATCGTCGAGCCGCTGGTCTGAATTATTTTATTTTATTTTTCTATAGATGTTCTTATGCAAAATATTTCGTCGTACGTTTGGGTGATGAGATCTTATTCAGAAGTCGGGTATTCTGGCAGAGCTCGTCATGACCGACCTCCTCGACTGGGTCAAATAACAACTTCCCTACGAATCGAAACTCCCACTCGAATACGTAATCTCCTGGGTACTGTACCAAAAAAATCGTAGGAAAAACATTGGATCTTAAATTCCTACCACGACTAACGGAAGAAAACCCTCTATTTGGATCTTATGCTTGAGAGAACAGAATCAATTAATGAATTAATTACTAATTAGTAAAAGTACCCAACAAGCCGGGACAGGTTCTGTAATTTCAATTCAGCACATTCTTTTTCACTCAAATTAAATTGTGCCTAAAATTTAAACGGCAGGGATTTAGGTATAAGTGATCTTAACTTGCTCAATGACAACAATGATAAAGTCAAAAAAATATGATGTCTACAGAAGATCTCATCACCCAAACTTAATTTTCTGCAGGCCGGTAAACTTCCAAAGCGATTTCTTGCTTCATTCTTCGACACGAAGATTAGTATAAAATATAGAATTATTCTGTTAAGTCGTGGGTAGCCAAAACAAGACCTTGTAAAATGCAATTGTATATTAGTAGGACAAACTATATGACTATTTTAACTTTCAAAAATCATGAGTTATTTTATTGTGAAAAACTAATGTATTAACAATAAATCAATAAAATACATACATATATTTAGAATTAAATAAAAAATAGAATAAAATGGTTCTATATGCTAAAAAAATCGTCTGCCGGGGAAAATTTGGTTTATTAAACAATCGTTTTTTAATCCTTCTTAAAAAAGATAGTTCCTACTCACATTAAGTTGTTTCGCAACAATCCGAATTTCGAGCCCTTTAGCTCATCATCAGGTTGAAGGAAATCATAGTGTCTGTAGTTGTGGGTTTTCTGTGTACATCTATTTCTATTAGGTTGTTTATTATGGACAATTTTAGGTCTAAAAACTTCAAACAAGCATCTTTGTTAATTTCCAATGTAAAATTTATATTACAATGTTGAGAATTAATTAGTTGGAGGAATTCTTCGAGATATTCTATGCATATGGTCGGGAACATTAGAGGTTAGGTATATATAGGTCAAAGCGGTAGGGAAATAAAAACGAGAGTAAAAGAACGTTTACCTAAGTCGAACAAATTTTCGGAATTCAAGGACCATCTAAAAGAAACAAAACATAATTTCAATTCAAATCTAAATACAAGTGTTACATAGTTTCAACAAAGCGAAAGAACTAGATTGGTTTGATAAATTTGAAATTAAAAAATATAAAATTGAACATGGTGATAAATGCATTAATAATATAACAGATTTTGATCTACCTCCCATTTTAAATATGTATATAAATAATATTAAACGTCCAAATAATTAAACTAGTTATTCTAATTATTATTGTTTTATAATAATTTAATATTATTCTAATTATTTCATTTGTAGTTTTATTTATTTATTTATTTTTTTATCTTTAATCACTTATTTACAATTAATTTCTTACAGTATTTACTATTACAATTGTTGTTTGTGTTATAATTCCCGCTTTTCGCACGTTCAAATTGAGCGCCATTAAAAACCCAGCTCCTCATTGGAAGGTCGCNGGGAGAAATGTATTGAGAGTATGGGAAATTATTTTGATTAAAGAACATTGCTTTAAAGTAACTAGTTTCTTTTTTTTTGTTTAATACCAAAATCCTGCATTATTTTCCGGACAACCCAATATATGTATGTATTTTATTGATTTATTGTTAATACAAAACTTTTTCACAATAAAATCAGTCATGATTTTTGAAATTTAAAATAGTCATATAGATTGTCCTACTAAAATACAATTGCATTTTACAAGGTCTTGTTTTAGCTACCACACGACTTAACAGAAAAATTCTATATTTTATACTAATCTTCGTGTCGCAGAATGAAGCAAGAAATCGCTTTGGTTGTTTACCGGCCTGCAGAAAATTAAGTTTGGGTGATTAGATCTTCTGTAGACATCATATTTTTTTTACTTGATTGAACCCCACACTCACCCCATCATTTATAATTTCTATCGTTTTTTAACTTCTATCCTTTCGTAAATGCCATGAATATGTTTCACACACTCTCTCTCTCATACACACTCACGGGCGGGCGCGCACACACACACACTCAAGCAAACACACACAATATATATATNCATTTTTATATGTAGTCAACTGTAATAGAAATCCGAAGGTCGTGGGTTCGAATTCCGCTCGTGACACTAACTTTCTCATTACAACCAATACCTTACATAAAAAGATTAAGTACCACGAAATATAATGGATTTAATGTGTAATAATAATTTTGAATCGTAGAAACATTTTGGCGATAATTTTAAATTTTGATACTTTTATACCACTGTAAATTGCATATGTTATTATGATATATTGATTTCGTTCATTAAAAGGAATTAAATATTTTATACAGCGGTAATATATTTGTGGGATTCCTTCTCGTGGTTT